CGCCCCCTGGTGGGCTGAGCTGGCCACACACACACACACACACACACACACACACACACTAAATAAATGTTAAAAAAATAAAAATAAAATAAAATGTAGTGATTGTTTAAAAAAAAAAAAAAAGAAAGGCTAAATATTCAGAAGCTGGTTTTCTTTCTTTAACTTTAGTACTGAGAAATAACCCCAGGTCCTTTGCACTGCATTAAATCCCCAGTCCTTTCTCATTTTTTATATTCTGGGACAGACAGGATCTTAACAAGTTGCTAAACTGCCCAGGCAAGGCTCAAACTGCCCATTCTTCTGGCCTCAGTCTCCCAGAATGCTGTGGAATTCCAGGTCTTTAAGGGATATTTTTGTTTGTTTTTATTAAGACCAGGTTTTGCCAGTAGTTCAGGCTTGAACTAACTATGTCACCCAGGCTGGCTTTGAACTTTCAGTGATCCTCCTGCCTCAGGCTCCCAAGAGCTGGGATTACAGGTATGAAGCAGGAGGATTTCCATGAGTCCAAGGTCAGCCTGGGCTACACATTATTCAAAGTTCACAAGCAAGAAGGAAAAGCAGGCCAAAACAACAAAGACTAAGTCAAAGTGAAAGACAGGCTCTTTGGGTCCTTATCTGGCCTTCTGCCCATTATACATTACCCTCCCCACCCACCCAAGAACCCACTTAAGGAGTGATATAGTAAGAGGCTTTTTGAAATACAAAATGGCTATTTTGCAACATGACAGTATTTAAAACATTTCAACAACACTTAAACAACTTTCAATATTTAATCACATTGGGGCTGGTGAGATGGCTCAGTGATCTAAAGCACCTACTTAGAATAAGCTTAGCAAAGCCCAGGGACCACGGTTCAATCCCCCAGCACCACATGTCAGCCAGCCCGCCCCCTGGTGGGCTGAGCTGGCCACACACAAATAAATAAAATTAAAAAAAATATATATTTAATCACATTGAAGAACTCTCAGAACAATCAGACTATTTTTAGGCTTTTCACTATAAGAAAACAAGGAAAAGGCTTTATTTTAAGATAAATAAAATATCTGAATAAATCATATTTTCCAAGTAAACTTCACTAATAAAATAATTTCATTCATATTTCAAAATTGTGATCAGTAACAGTAGGGTTTTTAAAATCCCTATCTATCTATCTATCTATCTATCTATCTATCTATCTATCTATCTATCTTGTACAAGGTCTCTATGCAGAGTAGACTTTAGTGATCCTCCTGTCTCAGCAGCCCCAGCACTGGGATTACAGGCGTGTGTTACCATGCCTGACTTCGGTGGTCGGCTCAGCACTGGCAAGGCATGCAGTAACAGGGATCAAACCTGGGTCCTTGCACTTGCCAGGCAGGCACTTAGACCACTGAACTATTTCCTCCCAGCCAATAGCAGGGGATTTTTCTGTAGTTCTGAGAACAATGATGAAAAGAAGCTGAAGTGAAAAAAACTTTGATATGTTTAAAAGCAGACTAAATTAAGAAAGGTTAGAAAAAGGGCCAGCCAGATAGCTCAGTGGACTAAAGCACCTGTTAGGAAGGTGCAGGGACTGGGGTTCGATCCCCTGCATGCTCTGTAGGCCTAGGGCCCCACCCCCAGGGTGCACTGAGATGGGAACTGAGGCTGAGCATGGTGGTGTGTGCCTGTAATCCCAGTGCTTGGGAGGCTGAAAACAGGAGGATCACTACGAGTCCGATCTGTGTAGTGAGACCCTGTACTAAACACACACACACACACACACACACACACACACACACACACAATGGTTAGAAAATTAAGCAAAGTTAAAAAAAAACCCAAAACACCCGACTCTAAGAATTTTAAGAAAGAACAGAAAACACAGCTATTTTTCTGTATTACTATTTATCTCCCAAGTAAATGTATTACTGCTTATAACCAAATGGGAGGAAGCAACAAAAAAGGTCGCAAAACTACAGGTGTCCTAAGTCATCCATACTCAGGCTGTTCAGATGAAATCCATTTAGTTAGTGACACAAAGAACTCTCCTCCAGCTAGGTGTGGTGGCAAATGCCTGTAACCCCAGCATTCAGAAAGCTGAAGTAGGAGGATCTCCATGAGTTCAAAGTCAGCCTGGGCTACACAGTGAGTTCAAAAGCAGCCTGAACTACCAAAGGAGATAAGACCCTAACATCTACGTATTTTTAAGCTACATATTACAAAAAGTTTTAGTTTTCTATCTATCAGAATTTCTCAGGGCCAGGGAGATAGCTCAGTAGAGTAAATGCTTGCCTGGCAAGCACAAGGGCCTGAGTTCATTCCCCGGTTCCGCCAAAAAAAAAAAAGGAATTTCTCAGATAACTACAGAGATGGTGACAATAATGAAAGACATGCTTAAGGACTCTAAAGCGGACACAGATAAAAACTGAGAGCAACTTAGGAAAATGATGGAAATGATGAACAACATAGGAAAGAAATAGACTTCATCCAACATTCAAAAAAGTATCTAAGAGGTGAAAAATTCCATTGACAGTACGTGCTGCAGCATCAGCCAATGTGAGGACAGAATTTCAGATTTGGAGGACAGGATTGAGGTAATCAATCATTAAAAAAAGATTTCTTAAGAATAGCAAGGGATCGTGACAAATCAGGCCAGCAGCTGCTAGACTGATGCAAGGAAAAATAGGGTAAGGTGTTTTTTTTGTTTTTTCTGGTACCAGGTATTGAACTCAAGTCCTTGTGCTTGCCAGGCAAATGCTTCTTCTATTGAGCTATCTCCCTGGCCAAGCGTAAGGTTGATTTGAGTCAGTTGGAAAAGCAGGAGATAGGACATAGGACACGAAGTCATTGTGGCACAGAGCTTCCCAAGAAAGGAAGAAGAATTTGACATACAGAGAAATGAGGCATGTTGAACTTCAATTAGCCATCATCATCATAAAAAAAACAACAACAAAAACCCCACTACATCAATGCATATAATAGCTAAGATTCAGAAATTCAACACAAGAACAGAACATTAGGGGGCCAGGGAGATGGCTCAGTAGAATAAGCACTTGCTTGGCAAGTGCAAGGGTCTGAGTGCAATCCCCAGTTC